CAAGGGCTCCTCCCGAGCACCACCGCATTCTGGCTCCAATGATGGTGAGAGCCACTGATGAAGAGCAGCTGAACATGGAGAGGAAAATGCAGTGAGCTGAAGGAAGACAAGATGGAACAACGTCAGAGTTTATTTTTTCCAGATTTATAGCAACTGCATCCTGAGAGGATGGAAGGCCTCAAAACTTTTCATCCAAAGTTTTGGTGGTGCCCACATGCGCAAGGATGAAGCAGTGTATGGTTGTGGGGCTGTGCAACCTGCTGTTCCCTTCTCAGGATCTGATCTGGGCATTCACACAAACATTTGTAATCCCATGGGGTTCCTTTAGAGAAGCAAAAATGCCTGAAATAGGAAAAAGCCCAAGTGCTTATCATTACATCCTGCACATATCAAATGAAATCAGAAAGGGGAAGGACCAACACACAGAGCCAATGAACATCCAACCTTTGTGATGAAGAGGCAGCATCTTGGCCTATAGGGATGCTGAGGAAATGCTTGTCAACAGCAAAAAGTTAGACTGTAGCATAATAAAGTCATCACTGAGCTGAGGTTGGGCGCATTACTCTGCAAGACAGCACACACAACTGCTGACCACTGTGCAATAAAAATACAACAGGAAGAGCAAGCAAGGAGGGAGAACTGCCATCCATGCGTAAGGGATTAGCCAAAAATGCTTGCTACAAGAGACAGGTGCCAAAATCACAGCATAAGCATCTACTTCATTAAAAGCATGAGGACAGAGCTTTGGCGTAAAATGTGGGCAGGGCAGAAGGAAGACAATGTGGGAATTGCTCAGCTCCTCTCCCGACCACATTCAGTATTACCATGTTGTCCAGGAGGTCTCCAGCTGTGCTATTATCACAGAATCACCGAAACACCAAGGTTGGAAAAGACCTACAAGATCATCCAGCCCAACCATCTGCCTATCACCAATAGTTCTCACCCAACCATGTCCCTCAACACAACATCCAAATGTTCCTTGAACACCTCCATGGTCAGTGACTCCACCACCTCCCTGGGCAGCCCATTCCACTGTCTGACCACTCTTTCAGAGAAGTATATTATCCCAAGCTGAGGACACTGGTGGGATTCCATCCCATGACAGGTTACCACTTTGCTGGGCTAGAGTAACAGATTAGCTTTGTGTCCCGTTGCAGTGTGAAACATAAACTCATAGAGACATCTAGACTGGAAAAGACCTTGAAGATCACAGCTAGTGATGAGTTCTCCTCTCCTCTCAGCCTCCTCAATTACAGATTAAACAGCCCCAGTTCCCTCAGGCATTAGGCAAAGTACAGCCTAAAATCTCCCGCAGGTAAGCTTAAACTAATTGCTACACTGTTTTTGCAACAGCAAACAGGCAGTAAGCTTTAGTAGCTCACCGCTGGGCCCTGAGCCCAGACTGCATTGACAGAAGATTTTAAGCTGCTATGTGCACTAGGGTCAGCGTTGACTTATCTCAGCTATTGCAAAACCTGAAGAAAGCTTCATCCAGGGCCAGAGAGTTATCGTTAGCAGTTACTCACTACTGAAAACGCCCAAGGTTGAGCACCCAGGCTCCTCAGGGATCCAGCTCCCAGCCAGGAAAGCAGACACAGCCCACCCTGTTGAGCAAGACCCATCTCCCAGCCTATCTGTAAACAACTAGGCCTCTGGGCTCAGTCTCTTTTTGCATCTCTGTAAGATCTTTAGGTTTGAAAGGGTCTCGAGGCAGGACTCGTCCACGTTTCTCGAAGAGGCTACCGAATGATCAGCTTACACATGCATATTGCTCAGGGTGGAGGCAAACTTAGTGGCAGAACATGGCATTCCAATGGCTCCTTTTATGTCTCACAGTTCATTTGCATCCTTCTCTGCTTTCAAGGCAACTCCCAGTCCACCGAACACCTGTTTTTAGCCCCCAGAAAACAGATAAAAAATCTTCTTCTCCACCCAGCCCAATGCACGGTCACGGAATCACAAAATTGCAGAGGTTGTAGGGGACCTCAAGAGATCATCAAATTCAACCCCTCTGCTAAAGCAGGTTCCTTACAATAGGTCACACAGGTAGGCGTCCAGGCAGGCCTTGAAAATTTCCATAGGAGGTGACTCCACAACCTCTCTGAGCAACCTATTCCAGTGCTCCATCACCCTTAGCAAAAAGTTCCTTTGCATGCTTGTGTGGAACCTCCTGTGTTCAAGTCTTAGGAGATTGCTCCCTGTCCTACTGCTACGCACCACCGAGAAGAGCCTGGACTCATCCATTTGCCTCCCACCTCCCTTTAGGTATTTATAAACATGAATCACATTCCCCCTCAGTCCTCCAAACAGATCCAGATTACTCAGCCTTTTCTCATGTATGAGATGCTCAACACCGTTTATCATTGTGGCCTTCCTCAGACTTCTTTTAGAACATCCCTGTCTTTTTTGAACTGGGGAGCCCAGAACTGGACACAGTATTCTAAATGTGGCCTCACCAGGGCAGAACAGATCACTTCCCTTGACCAGTCCCAGCACAGTTGCCTGGGGAACACCGCTACTTACAGGCCTCCAACCAGACTCTGCACCGCTGATAACAACTATCCTTCTTAATGTTTACCAACTGTCCCTGAGACCTATAAACTCCTCCCTTCCCCACCACTTCAAGGAGGCTGCTCATTTTATGAAGGAGATGAGTGCATTTCTCCTGTTAAGGTGCTTAAGGAATCCACAGGCCCTCAAATCCCTGCATTCCACCAACCCCAGCAAAGAAAACCTTAGAAGACAGAGAGAGAGCCTTGCACAGAAGTAGTGGCCTGGCATGGGCTTGGTGATCCTGCAACAAGGAGAGGGCAAGAGGTCCAAATATCCAAGCCCCAATCCCCAACACTCTGCTGATGATGAAGGTGTCAGACCAGAGCAAGCTTTCAAAAGTGGAGGGAAGGGGGAGGAAAGCCAGCTGTTACGCTGGATGAACTTTATCTGAGAAAAGCCAGCCAGATTGAGAGCAGCCAAGTGAAAATGAGGCTTTTCATTGAGAGCCACTCATACTGCAGAAAGCACCCAGCTCCAGTTAAACACACCACTAGAACATGATGCTGCATATTCCTTAAGGCAATTGTCACAACTCCACAGACTCAACTTATCCCTGTTCTCTGGATGGAAAATTGAGGCATGGCTTGTGAGCAAAGAGACCAGTGGCAAAAGCAAGCAACTGACCCAAGCCTCTGGAACTCTTTCTGGTCCTAAGGTGTATGGATGGAAGAAGAAGATGTACACAGCCCTCATTTGGATGGGGTGAGAGCTCAGTCAAGGGGGGTGAACCATACAATCTTAGTGTGATTCTTTTTCCTTCACTATACAGACACTCTCGCATTCTCTCTATTCGCCAACTTACAAGTGAACAACAGTTACATAATGCAGCAAATTATGTATTTTCCTTGATCTCAAGTGAGAATCTTGAAAACGCATCAACATCAGTCCCCTTCTCAACACAAGGCAATGGGTTACACCTCTGAAAGCACATGTAGGACATCAGGGAGACAGAAGCATACAAAGGCCCTCCAGAGTCACAGTTGATAAAAGAGAAAGATAAAAAAGCTTGTCTATCTAAAGATTATCCATTTTTATAACATATTTAGTCACACTGCAGTATGGACTGAACAGCGCATGCTGAGCATTCCGCAAATACACGCAGAAAAGAAAGTTGCTGTCCTAAAAAGGCTTATGGTGAGGAAGTGAAGGGGAGGAGACAGCTCAGCAAAGGCAGATGGATATCTAGAGGGAATTTCCAGCGCATGGGAGATGCAGTGATGTGCACAAAAGATCTCAAAAGAAATGCTGAACAAGAGAGCCCTAACACACAGGGCTCATTTCTTCACCTTTTCACATCTGCAGACCACTGCTGAGTTAGTGGGATACTGTGTACTTCAGTACTACCATCCCACTACAGGTTCCAGCATTGGTGCTGAGTCACTGTGTGCTGTTCAGGGTGTCTGTCACAGCATAAAGACACAAAACTTTCAGCGTCCAAAGGAGGGCTACAGAGATAGTGAAGGGTACGGAAGGCAAGACGTGAGAAGCAGCTGAAGTCCCTGGGTGCGCTCAGCACAGAGCAGAGGAGCTGAGGGGAGGCCTGCAGCTCCTCACAGGGAGCGGAGGGCAGCGCTGAGCTCTGCTCTGTGTGACAGCAACAGGGCCCAGGGAACGGCATGGAGCTGTGCTGGGGAGGGGCGGGTGGGGGTCAGGGACAGGGTCTGCACCAGGGGGTGGTGGGCATGGAACGGGCTGCCCAGGGTACTGGTTATGGACACTGCTCTCAGACACAGGGTTTGAATTTTAGGTGGTCCTGTGTGGAGCCAGGAGTTGTACTTGATAACTCTCTTGGGTCCCTTCCAGCTCTGGATATTTGACAATTCTCTGAGTTCAGGACGCTGGCACAACAGATATCTTGCTGGTCCCTACCAGGACCGCCACAGCTAGTGAGACATGGCCCAGCTGGACTGCACTGCCTTGGTGATGATACCTATCCCTCAGGAACGTGCTTACGCTGCCTGTCAGGGTGTATGAGCACAGAGGGCAGGCTCAGACAAGCTCACAGATATGGGCTGTGTCCAGACTCCTCTCAAAAGAGAAGAAAACTCAAGGGCACTTGTTAGGTTAGCAGAGGCCCAAGCTCTCAATATCCAAAGCCACAAGAAACATACCGAACTCAAGTCCTCCTGCACGTGGGCAGACATAGAATTCAACCAGACAAATGCAGACCATACACTAACAATGTAAGGGAATGCAGTCCCATGCTGTGAATCTCAAACACAGCCAAAGCCACAGTCAGAAATAAGTTTTGTGTGATCCTACAGCCTTCTGTAGGATCACATCAGCGGTCTAAAATCTTCCCATCAGCCTGGAAGAGTGAAAACACAAAGAAACCCATAACAAAAAAATCTGGAGGCTCAGAAGAAGGGGTCTCACCCAAAGGCTGCCAGGAAGCCTAGGCATTTGTACGTCTGAGCTTAGCAGCACTGAAGGCTGTCACGACTCACCTCACTTCCCAAGAAGCCACAGCAGGACCTGAACTCCCTGCACACACTCCTCCTTTCTCCTTTTTTCAGTCAAGCGAGACCTATACAACATTGCAACAAAAGAAATGTCAGCAAGCCAAACCCTGTCCCTTCCCTCCAACCAAAAAGCTTCATTTCCTCTCTTCTTCAAACTACTGCTGTAAAGTGAACCAATTATATATGAAAGTTATCACTCCAGCCCCCAAGGTTGCAATCAAAGGTAGGGAGTGAAAATCCTCCAGCGACGTGAATGTAATTGCATGCAGGGTGTGACGTGCCCCTGGGGTGGGGATGGTGTTCTACAGTGCTGTGCCCATCTCATGGTGAACACCTGCAGTGAATCAGCAGTGCAGCACCAAAACAAGCCTGCTGGCTCCTCCAGATGATGTGGTGCTCTTGGGATGTTCGCCAAGAGGGCACGAGCATCACCAAGAGGGCACGAGCATCACCAAGAGGGCACACACTTTTCCTGGTGGACATCTCCAGGCCTTAGGGACATCCCACACTACACTCTGGTCACCCAAGGGTGACAGGGGACATCCAGTGGGCACCAGGTGCTGCTCTGTGCTGCAGCGCTGCTTTCTCCCCAAACCAGGTCTTGCTCTTCTTCTCCCTCCCAGCCCACAGGACCCCCTGTAAGGGTAGCTGTATATCACACAGTGCCTTTGGTAGACGGAGTTTGAACCACAGTGGGGGGGAATGGGACCTTTATTAACATCAGAATAGCATCGTCAGGCAGTGTACTTAACCCAGTGACATTTGCACTGCTAAGTTTGGGAAGTATGAGAAGCATTCTTGCAGAATAGGATGAGGGGGAGGGACAGGCAGTCTTCGGCCTTCTTTAATTTGCTGCCAAACACTGTGTGATTCAAAGTCCATGCTCCTCCTTCACTCAGAGGTGCCACCCCGAGCTCCCTCAGTGCTGATGCCAGCAAACCGGAGATGTGCTGCATTTAACCAAGTGAGTCGACACTAGGCTTGGATCAGGCCAGGCTTTCTGAAACAGAGAAATACCAACAGCTCCCACTGAAATAAGATGGAATAAATTGTGGACTTCTGTGTCAAAGAAGGAAAGCAGATGCTTACCTCCACAAAGCCAAGTCTGACGACACCATGCTGAGATGATACTCTGCATAGCTCAGTAACAGATAGCAATAATCCCTACATTCACACTGATTTAAGAATTTGTGAATGATTATTTTCAGGTGCAAATATATGAACTCATCTGGAAAATCAACAGTAATACCTGCAGCAAGAGTAGATGAGCTGCACTTAACAGCATGTAGCAAAATCACTGCTCCCAAAAAACAACCCATCCCTTGGCTTTGCTATTGATTTTGCAGAAGGAAGTTAAGCCTCTATCTTGCTCTTGTTGCTGAGGGTAAGAGAAGGAAACGTAAGTTTCAGTAACCTTTCTGGGCCTGTTTTCTGCAAACATAATCTACACCTGCATCTTCAATTAGTTCCATGGAAGTCCAGAGAAATGTGCCTCTGGAAAGCCAAGCCATGAGACGTCTTCAGGGGAGCTGCTGCCCACATCCAACAAAAACATTAATTAATCCCCAAGCGTGCCAAGTCTGCTGGCATATGAGGTGAGCCAAGAATCTTCCTCAGCACCCACACTGGGATATTTGAGGGAGCTTTTGAGGAATCCAGGAGTAAGCCTGTGCAACCAGCTGCAGCTGCTCAGCTACTCCTGCTCTCCTGGATCACTTCCCAAGTGATTTGCACACACACAAAATCCAGGCTTACTTTCAGTAAAAGTGGGCATCAAACACTCTGACATCAAGCACGATGATTAAAGACACTCAGTTACTAGGAAAGATTAAAAGAACTAAGTATGTCTAACTTGGCTAAGCAATGAGTAAGAGGAGACATGATAAAAGACTCCAGGCATCCGAATGAAGGGAGTGGCACTGAATTAAAGAACTGAATAGTTTGAATGAATAAAATATCTTTTTGAGGAATGGATCCATCAACGATCTCCCAAGAGATAAGGCACAGGTCTCATTTTTTAGGCATTTAAAACTAGAATCTGCGTTTTTGAGGAGAAATCCACACTGCCCTGAAGGCAGTATACATCAAACCCTTTCATCTCCCATGCGGGATGCTACAAAGAAAGTGTGCCGTGCCACAGGGAAGCACAGTCAACTCGGGAAGACCTCACCCAAGAAACAGATATGCTTTTTCACTGCATGATATAATAATATTGAAAAAATAAAAAATGGGTCTGTAACCAAGATTTTCAGTATCCTCTGCAGCTGATTCAGGCTCTTTACTGGGTAATTTCAACCTACAGTGTTTTCATCCCTGCTTCCTTCAGCACACCCTAATGCAAGGTTAAAAAAAAAAAAAAGAGGGATATAACCAACACCATTGTACTCCAAACTAACAGGTCTGGATATACGACTTCATCCTACCACTTTCACCCTTAGGTGAAAGTGCAAGCCAGGAACCCACGGCTCATCTGCTACAGAAGACAGCAAGATCAGTGTGTGATGGAACCTTCGCCAAAAAAAGCCCTGCGCCATGGAAGGCAAGAAAATTCTGCAAAGCAATCCAATACCCGACTGTGCTGATACAGTATCCCTCAAAGAAAAGCACTCTGGTACCAGCCATCTGATGAGCTTTGTAAAAATTAGATGCAAGTCCAGAGCCCTGAGAAAACTGCCTGGGATGAGAGCTAAGCCTGCTGCACTGAGTTTGTCCTCAAAACTATGTGTGATGCATGCAACACATGTATGTACCTTAACACCAAATGTGTGAAGCCAAAGATTTTGGAAATTTTCATGCAACCTCCAATGCCCAGCCTTAGGAAGGTCTCCTGAATACCTCCATAGGCATGGACAGAGGATGTGTTCAAGGGAAGAAGCCTGCCCTGATCTTTATTTACAGAACATATGCACACAGAGCATTAGGTCAGGCCAGGAGGGCTGCCAGCAACACCAGCTTATCAACACCTTTTATATATACAGGGGTTGCAATTCACCCCCAGAAGGTCTCGCAGGTGTTCCTCCTCCTTATATCCTTGAAGCAAGTTGGCCACCGAGACTTGCTGGGTATGATTTACAAAGCTCAGATTTGGGTATTTGGCAGGCTCCTTCTCCCGCAGCAGGGAGAAGCCAAAGCCCCTTTGCTGAGGGTGCAATTTAAATCACAGTCAAGTTCACTCAGTGGCCACAAGTCATGGAAGGGGTGGCTGGGCTGGTGAGTTCACGCAGGGCCATGGGGTCTAGGAGAAAACCAGCGAGGGAAGAAACAAAGGTGAAGAGTTTTCCTCTAATTAATTCCCTAAACCAGTTCAGTGGGGTTCAAGCAAGTACTAGAAATCTTTCCCCTTTTGGCATGAACTCGATCAGCTGAACGGGAACATGTGACCACAATCCAAGGCAACCTTTGTTTGCAAGACCATGAGTGGATCTTTTTGATTTATATTTCTTTTCTTTCCCACAGCAAGCTTTTAGGTCTGCAGCAGCTCTTCTCCATGGGAACAGGAGATCCACTGTTTACTGGCTGGTGAGTTTTATAGTTTTATTGCAAAGCTGAAACAGCAACTTTTCTATTTATTTATCATTATTATTTTACATGTAGAACATTTTAGTATGCAGTGAATCATCGTGCTTTATTCTTGCATGTCTCTTTGGAAGGCTGAAATACACCACCAGGCATCAAGGTTCACACTAAATGCTGAAGAAACATGATCCTACTTAATTTGAGAGGCAGGCTCATGTAAAATACCCATTCAAAGTGGAGCAACCTCTGCACTTACATCATGGTGGAAAAAAGACAAAATTTGAAGCATCTAAAAAATATCATGATGTATTCTACCAAATCTTCCTCTTTTTATCTAGAATCAGCTGTTTCCATCACTGCAGCAACACTGATGCTCAAGATCACCATGCTCAGGCTATCGCTGCCATACTTAAGTACAGACATGCAGGTTGTAGTCAGACACTCACTTCCTCCCCTTCTGAAGTTGGGTTATTCCTGCTCAGGCCACTTCTGCTGTTTTACCCCGCTCTCACCAAGGATTCAGAGCTCCTGCAGCTCACCCCACACTGACAGCTTCAGGAAGTTGAGGAATGAAATGGACAATTTTGACACTGTAATGAAGTAAGGGTTTTGGTTTTTGTTTTTT